CATCAAACACAACAATTTCAATGGAAGGGTGGGTGATACCCTAATGAATATGGTGTCGGTTACACATTCTACTAGTCAGAAAAACCCAAAGATGGGAGTCACTTTTCTGCTCGTCATATATGCGCTTCGGTTATGTAAAGGCTGTTTAGTAAGGTGCAAGTAGACACGAAATGGGAAATTTTATTCACTAATTTCATTCACCATTTTGTTCTAAGAGTAATAACAAAGAAATCCTAGTGGAACAACACTATTATTCATATAAGGCAATGGAACGTTAACAATAGGAAAGAATTTCTTGTAGAAAATACAACAAAATAACATTGCATATTTCGGCTTAAATTGCATTTTATATGTGATTTCAAAGTGAATTTTCATAGGAAAGCTTTAATGCATAAGTTTAGTTGAATCTGGGCCCAGCATTGTCATGAACCTTCATGTGTCTTCTCATATTCCCTGATTGGGCAAAGCTTTTATTACATTCCAAACAAGAGTACTGCTTACCGCTATTAATTTTCTTATGCTCATTTAGACTCGAAAATTGGATGAAATTCTTCCCGCATTCTGAACAAGAGTACTGCTTACCGGTATGAATTTTCTTATGTTGATACAGACCCGTTGGCTGGGTGAAATTCTTCCTGCATTCCGAGCAAGAATACGACTTCCTACCGGTATGAATTTTCTTATGCACATTCAGACTCGATGACCAGATGAAATTCTTTCCACATTTCGGACAATAGTACGGTTTCTTGTCAGTATGATTCATCACATATGTGTTCGGTAGCGCAACGAAATCTTCTTTTTCGCATTTGAACCGCTTCTCATATGTGTGAGTCGTATTTTCTGGGTGTTTCTTTTTGAATGTTTGGATGTTGGGTGTTTCATTTTGATGCCTCTTAAGCCAGATTTTCTTCGGCATATGTCCTATACTTGTTTGTTCCCTACTAGCTTCTTGAATTGGTGTGTTCAATGACCTTGTGCCTTCTTGATTAATTTCGCTGAGTTCTATTTCTCCCTCAATCACTTCTGGTATTGATACA